TTTCGACCTGGTTCATAGAAAAAGCTTGCTTACGCAAGTTATACAAAATATTCAATTCGTTACGAGTCATATCACGTCTGGCAGTTAAAAATTGTGGCAAGGAAGGAAGGTTCAATGAATTTTTATGAACGTGCTAATTCTAAGAAAGTCAGGATCAACACAAAATTAATATAAATAAAATAAATTATTCAATAAATAATTATTCAATAATTACAGCGAGAGTTTATTGAATTTCTTTCGTGCCAATTTTCCCTCATATTTTTAATTAAGACAACTTTGACTGAGATCTGCTATGGAGCTTTGGACTTTAATGTTTATTGTGACGAATACAAAAAATGTATCAAATATCGTTGTAAGGTTTCAAAAATTTTTGGAAAAAAATGAAAACAAAATATGTATATTCGTTTATCAAAAAGACAAATTAAACGTGATATGTATTAAAATAAATTTGTTAATTAATTCTTTTGGAAGCCGCCCAGAAATCAGTCTTCGGATTTCAATTCAGAATTTAAAAAATTAAGTGAGAATAATTAATTCCAGAAATGTCGCAGAAAACGTAAAACGTCTGGGCGGAGCCAGTTGCCGTAAAGTAAAAAATAAATTATCAAAGATTTAACAATAATGTCGTTAAATTGTTAATTTTTTCATTTGTCTCGCATAAAAAATTGAGAATTTAATTTTTGGATTATAAATGTTAAAAAGTTGATTCCTTAAACTAGCAAAATTAACATTACGATTAGTTAATTCAATATTAGCCACCATTTTTGAGCAATCTTTTGAGGTTTCAATATGCTAAAATTACAAGAAAAAATTTAAAAAATAATTTATGTAATATATTCCTTAAAAATCCCCGCAGTCAAAAGTTTTGGATTGCTATGAAAAATTTGAATTTAGTTATTAAAAACCCAAGTAATTACATATTAAGTACATATTTGTAAATAAAAAGTGGACAGGTCTAGAATAGTATCGAAATGATTTTCAGGAAACAAGTCTCAACCCTCGTGGAACTAGATTATTCAAAAATAAACATAAAAATTTACGTTTATAATAAGATCAAAAATTTTTTGCAAATTATTTGACAATAAATAAACTTCGTTGAACTTGTCTCCTCCACTCGTTAAAATTTTTGATAAAATATCTGCATATTTAATCACATCATCATTACAGGGAATATTAATTCTAAGAGATTCACTAACATTCAAATGATTCAAAATAAATTGAACATTATTTTCAATATTGTAATCCATAAACAACCAAGACTTTTGAACATAAAATTGTTTTGGATTATCAAATAGACGTTCGATCAGTTCTGGATTAAATATAATTTCTGCAAAGTTACCACGTTCAAAAGAACAATTAAATAATTTATTTAAATAATAATAAACAATTTTGATGTCCTCTTTGTTTTTAATAATTGTTGGTAGTTGAAGTTGAAGACATTCTTCAATGTCATTTATGTTTTTAATAGTGGTTGGTAGTTGTGGGTCATAACATTCTTTATTGTCGTAAACTGAAAATTTGTTGTGTTAAAAAAATTATCGACGGGTCGAAAAAGTTAATTAACAAAAAATTTAACCTTTAGTTAAGCAAATAACAATATCTCTGTTTGAATTTAGATTAACTAAATACAAAGGAATTGGTTTTTCTAGTACATTTTTCAACTAAAAAATAAATAGGTACTACTGAAGATAAGGGTGCTATTTCTGCGGACTTATTTTGCGGACTTTTCCTTTCTTTCTTTTTTAATGTTTTGGTTGTTTTGCTTGTAGCGAGTTTTGCTTGTAGCAACTAACTGTCAAAGGATTAATTTTTATGCCAATTTGAAAAATATGTGTTCACCATTAATTTGAACATTATAAACGATAATGAATGAATTTCAACTATGAATTACTGATCTCGGAATGCTTCATAGAAAAAGAATATGTGATTGTGGATCAAAATGCGGGTAATTTCAAACCTTGTCCCCCCCCCCCCCTCCATTATTTTTATTACCTAAGATTGTACAAAATGGTCAGATTTCCTTCTTCCTCTCTTTCCTCTATTTGAGCTTGGCACATTCAAACCAGAAACATTGTTAAAGAGAATAATAAAATTAATTGAGTTGTTCAATATTGAGTTCAATTTTTTTTCAGTTGTTAAATTAGTTTTAAATATAAGTAAGAATGTAATGTTTTTACACAGAAATTCATAATGTTATAGACTAAATCAATTTTATTTAATTCTTTTTTTGTTTAACATCGTTTTCGGAGGCAAAAAATAAGTGTATGACTATAAAATTAATCTTCTCTTTATCAATGTCTCTTGTTTGAATATGCCACAGGGCAAATAGAGGAAGGAGGGGAAGAAGAAAATTTACATGATAATGTACATGATAACGACTCGTACGCCAGCAAAATTCAAGAAAAAGTTTACGAATTACATCCATTTCTGAATGAAGGAATATATGAATTTCATTTAGACAAAGAAGGAATAACAAGGGAAGTGGAGATGTTCGATACGGACAACGAAATTGTCAATTTAAAATAATAAAGGAGATGTAAGCAAAGAAATATTTTGAAACCAAAATCTTTTTTTTTCAATTTTCAAATAAATTTAAGTCAATTTCTGAATTTTTTATTTCATTTAATATTAAATATTTTAAAATTTTATGTTTTTCATTGACTTTTTTAAAATAAATTATTTTATATTAAATTTATTCCATTTATTAAATTTATATAAAATTATATATATTAAATTTATTCCTGTCCATTTATTTTTTAAATATTTTTTTACAATTTTACTTAACATTCACTTAATATACCGTATTTCCTTTAAAATAGCCCCTCTAGAAGTCGATCGAAAATCTAAATTTAGAAAATGGTGAATGGCAGAACTTATTATCTGGTTCAGAACCCCTTATATCAATTCTACACATTCAAAATCTTACAAGAAATTGGCTATCTGTGTCGAAGATGATGTGAGAAAATTTAATGAATTATTTTAATAGTGATATTGGATCAGTTCTGTGGCAAGAAAAAATGTTTTAAATTTATTAATTTTGTTTGATATAAATTTTCGATAAAAATTTCATTTTTAATATTTCTATCAAAAATTGAGTGTTTACATAAAAAACGCTGGCGTTTTGCGGAAAACGCTGGCGGAAAACGCTATAAAGTGCTTACATGAATACAGCGTTTTCCGCCTAGCGGAAAAACGCATTGCGGAAAACGCTGTTTTCATGTAAGCACTTTTTAGCGTTTTCCGGCATCGTTTTCCGCGAAACTTTTTTATGTAAGCTTAACATTAATGAAGTTTCGATTATAAAAACGAAAATGTATGCCTCTCAAGCATTTTGTAGGGGTTTAACCATTGTTGCTTGATTGCTTGGCTTGTTTAAAAATTTTGGAAGAAACTTTTTGCATAAATGATTTCTAAAAGTATCACTAGCCCAAAACAACAACCAGCTAGGTAAAACAACAGAACCAAAATCCATAGTCCAAGGATACAGAGTTAATACAGCGTCAAAATATTCAGTGTATTGAGCAAATATTGTCGTTGATAGCTAAATAATAGAACAAAAAAACATTGCTAAAACAATGTTTTTCGGAGGCATTATTTATTTAATGTTTTTCCGGAAAAGAAATTAATGTTAAAACAAGGTTTTCAGCAAACATTGTTTTCCAAAATTAAAAAAGGACATTGTTTTTCTACTTCAGAAGTCGTTCAAACATTTTCCGGAAACAATAAAACAATGTTTTCAGAAATCTAAAAATGTTTTCCCTGATAAAATAAGTAAATAAACAATGTTTTTCCTGAACCTTAACGTTGATTAAACATTGTTTTCCAACGACTCCAAAATAAACAATGTTTTTCCTAATAACATAATTATTTATCTAAAACAATGTTTTTCTACTTTAATTATTAATTCGAACATTTTCCGGAAACATAATAATACAATGTTTTCCAAAAAATGTTAGTGAATTTTTAAAAACAATGTTTTTCTACTTTAATTAATTCGAACATTTTCCGGAACATTATTAAATAATATTTTTTCTGGACGATATACTTAAATATTTACTTGTTCTAAAACAATAATTAAATGTCCAATAAAAGTAGCAATTGCATAAACCATTAATTTATATTCCGTTTTCTCATGATCTAATTGTTGATTGCTTTTAATTGCAGTGTTTTTCTTGCAGTGTTTTCGATAAGAAATTAAAGTTCCAATATTTAGAAAAACACAAATAATTACAAACATAACGCAGAGAATTGGGTTTAATGGAATACTTCCATAAAGAGTCTACAAGTTTTAATATTATTTTGCTTTAAATTTCAAAATTTAACAAACAATTTTGTCTTGTCCAATGTAAAAACCTCCAGAACTTGTATCATTTTGAAGGAAACAATTTACAGTGAGTATTGGTATATACAATAAAGTTGGAATTCCAAACACTGCCAATGCGGAAGGAAAAATAAGTTTATTCCAAACCTTAGGTATTTTTAAAAGTTTTGTTTGAATTGTATTATTTTCAGGAATAGACACGGCTAGAACATGTTTTTTCCAAAAGCAAAATTAGGTAAAAATAGCTATAGCCGGAATTTTGTTCTGCACGGTATTCCGTACTGAAATACCTAAAATAACGATACCGATAAAATTTAAAATTTTACCATGCCGTATTCCGTATCAAATGTAATAATGATACGAAATAGCACAATGTACCTAGAAACTTTTATCGGTAATATTACGATACGGAAAAAATAAAAAATTATATCCTCGGTATTATCGTACTGCCGATAAGGAATACCGATAAATACACAAAATACAGTCGTAGTATAATACCGTTCGGGCTCTAAATATAAGATGATTTCCCTAAAATATATTAACCGAAGATTTATATTTTGTCAATCTAGAAACTAGATCGAAACATTTCTGAGAAAATTTTATTAATATTGAGATAAGATTTTTCGAGATTTTCTGTAAATATTTTAGCTACCCATTTATAATTCATAGCCATAGTAATTGCAGTCCAACGATTTGCAAGAATTAAAGAAGTTGCCAAAAAATCCGCTAAAATTGTAGAATATGTAAGAAAAAAAGAAAGCCGTAACATCCAATTTGGCAATAAATCGTAAAAAGGATATAGCCAATTACCGAAAAGAATTGTTAGGCGATAACAATAATAAGAGTCGAGTGTGTAGAGAATATTCTGAAATAAAACATGTTTATCCGGAAACATTATTTAAAACACATTTTCCGGAAAAATATTACATAGACTTTTTCCGAAATAGTGAGATAATATTTTAAAATGTACTTGTTTTCCGGAAAAGTTTTTACGGGATTTGTATTCCAGAAATGTACAAGGGACCAAAAAGTAACCAGGCAAACTATTCATGCCATACCCTTATTCAAATTCAATATAATGTAATTAAATTCTTTCGTAAGGAATTTGTAATTGCAAAAAATAAACTAACCGGAACGGAACGAATTAAAAAAAGTTTGTAAAAAGGATTGTGAAACTCTTTATTTCCAATAATTGTGATTATTTCAATTAAATAAAGAATTATCGAAGGAAGACTAATTACAATTGCAAAATAAATAAATTGAATTCTTAAGGAAGAGAGCCAATCAAAAAATTGGATTGTCATTGAAAATTAGACTTTAACTTAATTAAGAAAAATAAAATTTTTTTTTAATTTTCTTAAAAGAATTTAAATATTTATAATATTTATTAAATACATATTTTTCAACTAATTAAATATTTATATAACCTTTTATTTTACGTAAATATTTGCTTTATTTAAATAGCAATTATTTAATAAACATTTCCTTTTAACTGCAGGTGATAATTTTAATTTAATCTAACAACTTGTTAATAAAATTTATTGAAAATTATAAAGACAATGGGTGAAAGTAAGTTGGTGAACGAAATTCAAAATTACCAAACTTCTTTTAAATGTTTAAAAATAATTAAAAGTAAATTGGCGTTAACCATCAAGCATATGAAAACAAAAAAATTTTAATCGAAAACGAAAAACAAAATTTTCAAAAAAATAGGTTGTTCAATATATCAACAAATAATCTTTTAATATTTTTCAAATTTTATTCCGAGCTTGATGTTTAAATCCCATAAACTTTCTTGACTCCGATGAATTAATTCACCAGTTTAATTTACCAGTTATAAGATAAAAATGAACAAAAATATTTAAGATTTTTGAAAAAAATTAGCAAAATAGAATAAGTATATTGCCTCTAGCCTAATTTACGAATCCAATAAACTTTAAGCGGTCAATGAAAGTTTACAAGTGTAATAAAATGTTCGAATACTCATAAACCAGACCATAGCCAATATACCAATATTCTTTATTAATTTTTGTCATTAACCACCAAACCATCCCTTCAAGTTCTTCCATGCAAATGTAACACCATTTTTTATTCCTCCAGCAATAGTTAAGGCTGTTGAAACACTGTAAACACCACTTTTTATTCCAGTAATAATACTCAAGGCAGTCCATGCATTGGAAACACACTTGTGCATTCCACCAAAAATAGTTTTGTAGGGGTTTTGAATAGAGTTGCAAACATTTTCCGCAGCTTTGCAAGCCATACTAACATCGGTATCACGACTTTTGCGCCGAGAACATTTGCGCCGCGACTTATGCGCCGCGACTTTTGCGCCGGGCGACTTTTGCGCCGCGACCCTTGCGCCGCGACTTTTGCGCCGGGCGACTTATGCGCCGCGACATTTGCGCCGCCATTATTTAAAAAATCCGGATCCGAACAAGGCCGGATATCCGAAATTTTCAGTTTGGATATCGGATCCGGATATCCGAAGATTTTCAACTATCCGACAACACTACTAAATTGAGGTCCAGCTGTAGTTATCTATATATTTTTAATGATAGTGGCGGCGCAAAAGTCGCCCGGCGCAAAAGTCGCGGCGCAAATGTTCCCCGGCGCAAAAGTCGCTCGGCGCATAAGTCGCGGCGCAAAAGTCGCGGCGCAAGTGTCGCGGCGCAAATGTTCTCGGCGCAAAAGTCACGGAACCCTAACATCAACAAGTGTTCTACTAACATCTTCACTTGTATTAATAACGGCAACACAAACTTTGTCGATAGAATGACAGACATAGACAAAACCTCCAAGAATAATACCAACGGCAGCTCCGAGAACAGTTCCAATAACTGCTCCTTTAAGGCCTCCAAATAAAAGTCCAACAACAGCAACAACAACTGCCCAGTTAAATGTGGCATTGTTAACTGCGTCATTCAAACTAAAGTTAGAATTTGGAACTGTGCATTCGCTTTCAACTTTTGAATAGGATGAAGCTGAAAATATAAACTTTTTCTATATTAAGGTCTTTGAAAGAGCCACTCATGATTAGAAACCTGACCATAAGACCTAAAACAAAAATCTCGTTTATCGAGATTGGTCGAAACTGATCCTATATAGCTCTCCCAGTCCAGTCTCTACTCATGGAATAGAATTTAGGCTACTTAATCCGAATATTATCGTAAATCTTTTTATCTAACAATTTCCAATTTTCTCTTTCCGTCTTTAAACACAATATAAATTAGAAGGAAGAAGAGATTAATTAAAATTAAACATTCCATACTTGTATTGTTGAAGTCATCATCATTATATTTTGTTTCCTTATTAAAACACTGATCATAATTTGGAAATGCTTTCGAATCTAAAAATTTGATTCTGAATTTAAGTTTAATTAAGCTTGATTTCGAAATTTAAAGTTAACGAAAATTATCTCAAAAATTATTAATTACTTTACAAAATTATAATCAAAAGCTCTATAGTAGGATCATTTTGAATCAATAATACGAAAGACGGAAGTCTGAAGGACGAACTTTCATTTAGAAAGTGAAAAACTAAAACACACGATAACAAAAGACGAAATTAAATTTTAATTTTTAAACATTTTAAAATTATAATTGCCCAATAAATACAAGAGTAAAAGTTCTATAAGATGATAAATATCGAGAGTAAATAATTTATGATAAAAAAATTTACCTTTCGATTTAGTCAATTTATCAGAATTTTGATTAATATTGTCTATATTAGGATAATTTAAATCAGTTAATAAATTATCATTGGAATTTAAATAACGATTATAATTATTTAGTGCAGCCAAAAATCTGTCCAAAACATCGTCATCATCTATTGCCATGATTAACTAATCTTAAATATTAAAATAATTATTTAATATTTAAATAAATTTTAATTAAAACTAAGAAAAAGGGAGAAATATTTACATAAATTTAACAAAAATGTGCACAATACATTTTTTATTTCATCTTCTTCTCCCTATATATTTTTGTAATGAATGTAAATCAATGGAAGAATGACTTTTAAAAGCTTATTTAATCATCATTTTTTTCAATAAAAGATGAAAAAATAAGCTTTTTTCCTATAAAAATAAGTTTAAAATGTATAGATGTATGAGTTCAAAATTTAAAAGTGGTTTCTAGATCAGTAAATTTATTTTTTGGACACTTATTTTTACTTTTAAAAATTGATTTTCAAATTTTTGTATTTTGATAAACATTTTTTTTTAAATTCTTTCCAACTTTTTTCAATTTACTTTGTTGAGATTTCATCAAATTAAAATATTTTTGTTTCCTTTTGGCATCAACCAGAGGATTAAAAATATATTTTTCCCAATTTCTCTTTATCATTCAAAAATTAACATTTATTATAAAAATTCTTTTTGGATGGCAATAATGTCACTCATAAATTTTTAAAAATGACGACAATTTTTATAATTAGGCATTGGGAATAAAGAAAACAAATTGACCTTATAAAGAAGAGAATTTCTTCGTACATAAACATTTGCCATTCATTATTCTTTATCTACATATTCAACAAAATTTTATAGGATCGTGCATTACTTACCGTACTTTTATCCCAGTCTAAATTGGGGTCATGAGCAATACATTTTAGGCTCATATTTGTTTGATTTTTATTTTAATCTTATTTTAAAAACTTTAAAGTCTGTTAATTTATTTTTAAATATTTTTGGGCATATTAACTAATACATATACACAGGGTTGCCAGATGTACTTATTTTGGAAGTACAGTACTTACAAATCGACCTTCGTACTTACGAAATTGAAAATGTACTTATTTGTAAGTACGTACTTACAAATAGACTTTTTAGTTAAAAAATTGAAGTTAACATTAAAATTTCCAAAATTTTCGCCTGCGGCGCAAAAAATGGAAGAAATCTGTCTTAAGGACCTCCAAAATTCTCAAAATTTTCGCTTGCGGCGCAGAAAGGGGAAGAAATCTGGCTTATGAACTACCAGAATTTTCAAAATTTTCGCTCATTTAGATAATAATACAAAATATTTGAGCAAAAATAAATTTTGTAGATTGTATTTTTGGAGCGTACTTATATTTTGAAAATTTTTCCCCCTATGTACTTCCAAATTAAACTTTCTGTACTTACACTTGACATTTTCTAAATGGCAGCCCTGCATATACATAATTTCTTAGCATTTTTCCAGTTAATTTTAGTCTTATTAAATTTTGAAAAATGTTCTCTCTACAACCTGAAGTTCAACTGGATATTTTGAAATTCGTCAATTATGAAGAATTATGTTCAATCAGACAAACAAATTTATATTTTCGAAATTTTATTTATAAATTTGAAGGGGAACTTGCTCGAGAGAAATTTCATAGCATTTATATTGTAACGATTTTTTAATTGATCTAATTTTAGAAATTTATTTAAGGGGTATTTGAATCAAATCAAAAAAGTTTCTTATAATTTGATTAAATCTGAAAATTTTGACTTTGTCTTTTTTGCTGAGCACCAAAAAGAAATAAATGAACAAATTGAACAAAAGGTTAAATAAAAATAGTAAAGGTAAAATTTCTTTTCCTTTTTAGTGGAGCAATGGGCTACAAGATCCGATTTGTTTGTATTTATTTGATAAAGGAGTAATAGGCTCCAATGTTATTATCTGTGTAACTAAAGGTAAACCATTTTCGTTAATTTTGGAATTTAGGTAAAAACCGGTACCGGTACTTTCCGGTACCGGTACCGGAAAAATCCATTTGCCGAACACTACTCCCAATTTGCCTTGGGTCTCGAACTGAATATAAATATAATTAAAGCTTAAGAAATAGAAACTTTTTAGTTCACAACGATAAAAATCGTTACATTATACTTCAATTGCCAATAATTATTTATAACAAAAATGACATCAAAATTGTTTATTATTATTTAAATAAATTATTTAATTGTTCTTTCGAATATGGATACTATTTTGAATTCATATTCAATCCAGAATTGATTCAATTATTATTTGGAAGAACCGCCAAACAATTTTTTATTAAATGGTTTTATAAGGTTTACAACACTGAGAATTTATTAAAATTTGTCTCAAATCATTTAATCAGCAACTATGTTAAAATTAAATTTCCACATGTAAACATTACAGAAGAACATAAAAATATTTTATTTAAAATTTTAATGAATGGAGACAAGTTTAAAAGAGTCGGTTTGTTGTTCCATGAACGGTTTGTTGTTCCAGAACTGTTCGATTTCGTTATAAATGTAAGATTTTTGGGTTCTTATCCGTTATCCCTACCAGAATTTTTTTCAGAATTTTTCCCAATTTTCCTGACA